GCGCCTCCCCCGCCACCCCCACCGCCCCGCATTACCATATGGAGGCCGAGTCTCTGCGAATCACAGCAGCAGCGGGCGGCATTTGAATAAGCCCCTCAACCCGGCTCAGACCCCAAATCCTCCGCAAGCAACGTGCCCTGCACTGAGGGCCACGACTCCGACCAGTAACCTGGCAGCGGCCGACACCTCCCCAAAGTGCCCAGGGCGCTTGGGAGAGAGAGTGCTGGGCCTCCCACTTGCTACTTTTATATTAACTTGACTGATAGGATCAGACAATAAATGGTAGTGGGGAGAGGCAGAGAGAGATACATACACACAGAGAGACTGGGGGGGGTGTCGGAAGTGGGGGGAGAGGGGTGGGGAGGAGAAGAGAAAGGAAATAGGAGAGGAGCAGTGAGGGGAAGAGGGGACAAGGTGGAAAGGAAGACAGAGTCAGAGGGAAGGAGAAGAAAGTGGGGAAAAGGAGCCCAAAGGGTTGAGTGAAAGAGTAAAATGGGAGGAAGTGGGGAAACGGTGGGAGGGGGAGAGAGATATCCAAATATTTGAATTTGGACTTTCCGAGCTAAAAATACCACCTCACTGAACTTCACAACCTCCAATTAGACACGTGTTTCTCACCCCTCCCACGTCACCGAATGATTAATTTGCAGTCTCAATCAGAAATAATTACTTAGAATTGTATAGCAGATATAGGATTTAACGGAAAGGAGCCGGATTTGTGAAACACAGCAAAACCTGACATTTAAAGATGATGTTGGCCCCCTCACGTTAAAAATTTAAGGCTTGCCTTAAAGACCCAGGCACTTGCTCAGCGTTGTCCTCCCAGATAGGGAGACTCAGGCCCTGAGTCAAGAATAAGAAGTGTTTCTAAGTATTTTTGGACTTTAAGAATTTTTCTTTCCTCCTCTTTGATATTTGATTGTTACAATTTTCTTCTTCACGAATTGAAGACGTTTACCAAAAAATACCGATGAAGTGTGGGTTTTATAAAGAATGTACTACAAAATTTCCCCACATTTTAACTTAAGATATAATTTTAAACGTTAGTTTAAATACATAGCCAGTTCCATTTTGAATACTAACTCTTTCAATAATAACTCGAGGTTCTGAAAGCATTTTCAATGCGGTCCTCCCCCCCCCCATCTTCAAATCGGAGCAGTGATTTCCTTGCACAAACAACCAGAATCATAATAAAATCTCCAGTCAGCTATTGGATGTACCCATTGTAAATGTCCCTCTTGGTATTCAGAAGCCAAACCCCCTCCTTTTGAGACACACAAAAAGAACGCTTCTGATTAATAATCTCTTACGCGGCGCACTGAGGCCGAAGGCAAAGAGCCATAGGACACCAGAGAAGGGCGGAAAATTCTTAGTACCTAGAATTTCAACACAGATTCCAAAGACGTGCTAACTGCTAGGTTTCGGTAGGGGGATAATACTGGGCAAGCAATGCTTTCGGGGAAGACAACCACATCTAAGTACTGACTCCTTCCTGGGCCAGGGGAGGTGGGCGGTCATGGTTACCCGGCATTTTTGCTTGTAGACGAGTATACAAGATGGTATGTAGCTCACGCATGTGGCCAGGCCCAGGTTTTTCTTTTCATTTTTCTCTCTTTTTCTTTTCTCTTTGGTTCTCTCTCTCTCTCTCTCTCTCTCTCTCTCTCTCTCTCTCTCTCTGTCTGTCTGTCTGTCTCTCTCTCTCTCTCTCTCTCTCCCTCTCTCTCTCTCTCTCTCTCTCTCTCGTCTCTCTGTCTCTCTCGCTCGCTCTCAGGTAAGAAATTGAAACCAATCCACTCTTTTTGTGGCTAGCTCCCAAGAAGCTGAGATTTTAACCTCTTATTTATATTTAGACAGCGTGGAGTCCCGGTGGAATCCCCCGGCTCGGGATTTCACTAGGATACTCCCAGGGCTCAGTCGCTGCCCACAGCTCAAGAAGAGAAAGGAGGGAGAGTTGGTGGCGCTCGCTCTCAGGTAAGAAATTGAAACCAATCCACTCTTTTTGTGGCTAGCTCCCAAGAAGCTGAGATTTTAACCTCTTATTTATATTTAGACAGCGTGGAGTCCCGGTGGAATCCCCCGGCTCGGGATTTCACTAGGATACTCCCAGGGCTCAGTCGCTGCCCACAGCTCAAGAAGAGAAAGGAGGGAGAGTTGGTGGCTTCGAGCTGTTTCCGTCGGGGCCCCGCGTTTCGCCCCAACAGACCCCTTTCGTCTTTTTCTCCCCGAGGGCTCTACCTTAGGTAGGCCAGTGTTGCAGCGGTCCTGGCCAGGTGAGCGAGGGGACGATCCCAGAGGGCAGCAGCCCTCTCTCAGAAGGTCTGGTGGGTCTTTGAACCCGCCGGTCGCCAAAGGTGGAGTGGCGCGGGGGCCAGCGCGGGGCTCCGGCTCCCGCCAGCAGGGGAACAGCGACACCTACTGGCCGCACGGACACCGCGTCGGGGCCGTCGGGGCGGCCCTAGGCTGGGGGTGCCAGGCTGCATGGACTTGGAAGGCCGCAGGAATGTGCACCCAAGGCTCGGGTCCCCTTTAGGCCTCGTCTCTCCCGGAAAAGGCAAAGTCTCTGCTAGACTCCCAGTAGAGGTTGTAGGATGGGCCTGAACACTTGCAAGGGCACGCACGCTCTCCAGCCCTGAGGCTATTTCTTCTGGGAAACCACAGGACCTGCAGACGCAGTTGGCCACCGCCTTCTGGCTCTATGCCAGACCCAGGCCGAGGTTGGAGCCCCGACCTTTGCGAGTTCATGAACCAGGACGCTTCTCCACCACCCTCATTTTAGTGTTGACTAAAGATAGTATGTTTACAAATTTGGAACCAAGGAGAATTCATTATTTTCCTAGAGGAGAAATGTGTGAGTCAAGGACACAGACTCACATGCTGGGGCTAAAGCCAGGCACGCGGACTGGCAGAGCCCTCCTGCTCGCCAGAATCCTGCACTTTGAGTGCGCTCTCACCGCCGCCGGGTGCTGAGATTTGGTAGCTTTTCTTTAAGAATTATGGTTTTAGTTACACCGGAAGTAGAGGCAAATTTGGGGTCGTGGTGATGTTTTTGAGACCTAAGGATATAGCTACATCCCGCTAAATGTAAATGTAAATGCTTCAATTGTTGGCTCTGGTCGATAAAGGTTGGAGAGGGTGCCAAGGGATGGCGAGGCCCGACGAAGACCTAGCAAGGATGAGGATGGAAAGAAATCGATTCGTGTATTACAGATTTACTTTCTCTTATCAATCTTTTCTGTTCAAGCAAATAACCATTTCACATGAAAAGAGGATATAGGTGGTTCCAGCAGTGGGTGGAGGAAGGAGGGATCTCAGCTTCTCCTTGTCCCCAGATGCCTCCATTTCCCCTGTTGGGTTCTGAGACTCACCTGGGCCTAAGAAACCCGATTGAATGTGATTCGGGCGTTAACTTGTTTGAATATTAAAATATATTCCTTCTTCTAGGAAGATTAGAGTATCTGAACTAACTCGAATCCTTGACATTTCCATTTAAAGTATTACTCATTAAAATATCAAATTAAAATTTTTTTCATTGAAAATTTGAGTTCGTCTTGGAAATTATTTTCCTCAGCTTTAGATACTGGTTGGAACTAGGGTCTAAAGTGTTTTGAGGAAGGGAGGGATGGTCTTGTAAAGGCTCAAATTTTGTTTCCGTTCTCTACAATTGCAAAAGTTTTGGTAATTCTGTTTTGTTTAAATAAAACTGAAATCTTTTGGTGCCCCTAAAGTCAGAAGTTAGATCAAGTCTCTTTCTCTCTCTCTCTCTCTTTTAAATGCCTACAGCACCTGGTATTCTTAGGTGGTCTCCTATCCAAGTCTCTTTCTCTTTTTAAAATTTTTTTAAAAAAAAAATCTCTAAGATGCTTAAGAAATCTGCTCCTCAACACAATTTTACAAGTATTTTTCCTTTTTAATTTACCTGCATGTGTATACAAATGTGTTCTGATAATATCTGAATTCACATCCCAGAGGTGGCCCTTAGCAGTTTATATGATGTACAAATAAACCTGTACAGCTATATCCTCATGACATTGCTCTCAATGAAACCTGTACTCCACTGCATATCAAAGTCGACTTTGTCCTGTAAAATGGAGTCTTCACAGGAAAAATGATTACAGAAAATTAAATTACTCTGGGCACACAACAAGCACCCATCAACCAAACCCAGTTCAGAGGTGTCTTTTGGTATTGAAAGTACCTTGGAAACTGCAAGGGTTAATTATTTTTTCTTTCTCAGGAAGCACTAGGTTTCTAGAATGCAGCTTTACTTGTGACTCGAAAATCTTAGCTAGAATGGGTTCTCATTGTTGCTTGATAGTCTTTGATTTTATTCACTAAAAATTATTGATTTAGCATTCAAGAAAATAGAAGAATAGAATTTAAGTGTCAAAAATGCTGAAAATTTCTCTATATAATCATCCCAAAGCATAAGCATATTAAACCTTAATTACAGGAATGCGTCTTGGTTTAGAACAGAAAATTAGGCCAGTGAAGTAGATTCTTACTCTACAAGAAATATGAATATGTACATATTATTATATTATATGTAATATATATCCATGGTTGCTATTGTGATGTCTTCGTGAAGTAAGGGTGAGGATAAGGCTTCTTATTCTATTTAGGTTTTCCTTAATATATTTCTCTTTTAATTCCTCTAATTTAGTAAGAAAATTAAGGAATGAAGACTGGCTAAACTGTTACTAGACTAGGTTCCTTTGTCACACCTGCCCTTTCTCTGGGAATGCCTGGGAGGGTGTGTGTGTGTGTGTGTGTGTGTATGTGTGTGCGTGCGCGTGCACTTCATTTCCTCCTTGTTGAGGAACATGAAGGAGGGAAGGGTTGTGAGGATGAGAATGTTGATCAGAAAGGCACATCATTGCATTTGAAAATGAGATGGGTACATTTGAAACCCTGTTAAATCCCAGCTAGATAGTTATCTGGGGAGGGAAGACT